TTCCAAGGACAAGGCCTTGGGTCGGGTCTAGGGCTTTTAGGGTTTAGGGCTTTTAGGGTTTAAGGGTTTAGGGTTTAGGGTTTAGGATGGTTTAGGGTCTGGGCGGGTCTTTAAATGGCCCTATACGGGGTGTTACAGATGTTACCGGGGGAGTTTGCAGGGGTTCCAACATATTCTTGAATGAAGGTATATCGGGCTGTCTGCATTTCATGACCAAACTTGACCAAACCAAGCAGCAGCGCTATGGAGGAAATATAGGGGCCTGAATAATTAGAATTGGGTGTTGGGGCCCATTATACTATAAGTATCATATGGAATCCTACTGTATGTAGCAGTAATATTTGTAGATTGTAGTTATCTAGGCTTCTATATTAGGACGCCGAGGCCGTTAATTCTAAGCTTGCGGCGTCTTGTGCAAGACGTAACAAGGCTTTTCCAGGCTTCGGGGATCTGAGGGGTTCAGCGGTGTTGGCGTCGCCATCGTGCCGCAAGAAAGGGGCCTTAATAAGTAGAATAGGGTTTTGGGGTTCCCTTTAAGGGTTCCTCAAAGGGCTCTATAAGGGCTACTGTAAGGGTTTAGGGTTTAGGGCCTTAATATTTTGAATAGGGGTTTGGGGCACATTCTACTATCTTTAGAATAGGGAACCCTCAAAATAGTATTGGTGACTATTTAGGCCCCTACATCATGCCCAAACTCTAGTCCTGAACCGACATCTTCGCTCACGCCCCAAAAGCCAAACTTAGAACCCTACACCACAAGATGGAGCGAAGCCACATGGCGCTTCTGCCACTCCAACTGAAGTTCATCATTGTGGCCGCCTACAGCATTGGCTCGGGATGAGCCGTTGCAGGCTCCGAGCTCGTGCTTGGGGTTTCCGACGGCAGGAGACCAAACTCAAACAAAGCAAGACGCAAGACAAGAAGCTCACGCAAGATGTACGACTGCAAGAATCAAGCTTGATGGAAAAAAAGGTGCCGGCGGTTGATTAAAGCAGCTCCGGAACAAGAGGAATGTCCTCAGGACCATGGGGGCTGAAGACTGTTGCAACGACGCCCCAAAAGCCAGGGGCAACGTAGAGCCCGTGGAATCAAATCGAACCATAAGACGGTTTCGGTTTTTGGGTTTAGGGTTTCGGAAGCTCGTCTTCGCGAGCACACGGCTGAAACAGCACACACGACCGACAGCTCCTGGCAACGAATTTCCGCGGGGTCGTCGTCACAGTGTCCCCAGATGGAGGGCTCGGTGCTGCTTGTAAGGTCTACCCACAGGCCCTAAAGTAGTTCCTTTTGGGGTTCATATATAGAATCCTTTAAGGTAACCCCAAAAAGGAACTACCATGGTATACGGCTTAGAAAGACGGTGGCGTGGGGCTTGTACAGAACTACAAGTACGGACAAAGCCCTTCGCCTCCTGGCTTTCTCCGAGATTCACTACACTGATGCCCTAGCTCATAAGCAAAGAACTACCCTAAACCCTAAACCCTAAACCCTAAATCCTAAACCCAAACCCAAACAGTGAGCTCATAAGCAAAGAACTAACAGCATCCACAGAGCTTCAGGGTCTTGGGCTGCGTTGCGAGGCCCTTACGGTAAGGTTTTGGGTTTAGGGTTTAGGGTTTAGGGTTTAGGGTTTAGGGTTTAGGGTAAACCTTACCGTGCCAAAACCCAGTTGTTTGTAGGTTATTATGATAAACCCTAACATGGGATTTATAGGGACCCTACAAAAAAAGTAGGTTCTGGTGGGGTAAGGTTTAGGGTCTAGGCTTCAAGGAGACCGGGCTGGAGAAGTCCTCTGACCCGAGTCTGCCAAACTGCTGTCATTCTCGTCTGTGAAGTCCTTCTGCGTGCGCCTTGGCTGGAAAGGGATGTGTATTGTTGGCCTTGAGTTCCCCCCAACACAGCGACTCTAGTCCCCCTACATAAATACTTCTGCTGGTCCCGCGGATCTGTAAACCCTACATCCTGGTGCTTTCACTGTTTGGGGATCTACGCTGACATAATGTATTTACCCATGGGCCCTATAGTAGTTCCTTTTTGGGATTACCTAATAGGATCCTAAATATAAGCCACAAAAAGGAACGACTATGGGGCCTAGGGGTAAGGAAATCGCCAGGTCTGCCTCAAAACCGACCCCTGCTGCGGCAAGCGCTTCAATCAGGATTCTGCAAAGCCACTAATGCAGGAGCCTTAATAATTAGAATAGGGTTTTGGGGGTTCCTTATTATAATTGTAGTACCCCGAATCCCTATTCTAATTATAAAGGCCCCTATATTAAATCCTCAGCATGTGGAACAAGAAACCCTCCGGGTCGTTTGGACGACAAGTAGCTCTGATAATGTAGGGGCCTTGATCATGAGAATAGGGTTTTGAAGGGTTCCTGCTTGTAATTGTCGTAGAACATACCCCCAAACCCTATTTTAGTATTTAAAGGCCCCTGTGTTACCTTTAACCCCGAATCCGAAACCCCAAACCGTGCCCCTTCCCAAAACCTCAAGGCGGCCCTGGCTAGATACCACTCGCCCCCTGGAAACCAAAGGCGTCGATGTTGGCATGGTTGAGGGCCTCTACCCTGCAACGGACTATATATACATCTGTGTAGAAATATATATATATATATATATATACACATATATAATATACTATTCTGTAGCCCTAAAACCAAAGTTTCGGGTACAACCAATTCATGGGCTTAGCAGCGGGAGCCAGTCTTGGTTCAAGCCGTACGCGAAGCACTCACGGCCATCCAAATGCTGCCGCCTGGGGATTCTCTGAGGTTTCAAGTTTCGGTTACAAGGGACCGTTTAGGGTTTAGGGTTTAGGGTTTAGGGTTTAGGGTTTCACATATGGGGGTTTCCGAAAATGGGGGTTTCCGAAAATGGGGGACCGTAAAATAGTACCCCAATGAATAGGCACAAGGGCCCCAAAATACAGTACCCTTATTTTCGGAAATGCCCATATGGACCCGAAGCAATCCGAGGCTTCTCATAAGGAGCCCTAAACATAGCAACTTGATTCCATGAATTCCTCTATCATGGCTGGGTGAGCTATCCAATGCATGAAAGAAACCCTTAAAACCCGAAATCCCTAACCCAAAGCCCGGCAAACCAATCTTCAGAACAAACAAATTTGGTTCGAACATTCGCGACAACAGTTCAACATCCCATGCAACACTAAGGCCCAAGGTAAGAAACCTAAGTATCAACATCAGCATTTTCACAAACCGGAACTTTGACTGCTGCTTCAACAGGTTGGCTTCTTAACGGTTTCCACGGCCCAATCGGAGGGGTTGAACTTCCTGCCAGGTATGCAACTCAAGCTGGCTGGCGAACGAATGGCTTAGGATATGTGCTTTCTCTGCGTGACGCGGGTATGCGCTTGATGTGGCTTCTGGTGGATTAAGGTGAAAGCTTGTAAGCCCATGCCTGTGGGTTCTTGGCAGGCATTTAGCAAAACCGAGTTGGTGCACCGAAGCTGTGCCAGCACGGATCGGTCGAACGCAGCTTTATGGTTCAGAGGTGTGCGAAGAGAAACAGTAAAGGCATGCAAAGAAAGAGAGAGAGAGAGAGAGAAACAATGATTTCAAATCGTGGGGATCCACAGCTTTAAGAACTCATCCCCATGATTAGACTCTCCAAACCCTACACACTCAATCGAAAACAGCGAAGCCTGTTTGGCGTCTCTTTCACAACGAACTGTTAGATGACAGAACATCCTATAGTTGCCGCCGTCCGCCGGTCCCATGCTTTACTTGAGCATGAAATGCAACAGGCAAATGCTGGCACGACATCTTGGGGCTGGGCGTGGCTGTAGGGTATTGAGGGCATACCCACAGGCCCCATAGTAGTTCCTTTTTGGGGTTACCGTATAGGATTCTATATATGAACCCCAAAAAGGAACTACTTTAGGGCCTATGGGTAGCCACACTTGAAGGCTTCGGAGAGAACGGAGTGAAAACACTCTTGCTGCGGCTAAGGGTCATCAGCCAGAAAACGCAGAACAGGGCACCAATCGTGCCTTGCATACGCCGGCTTAACATGGGGACCAAATCCTCGAAATCGCACGAAACCTTCGCAACTAGCCTGCAGACACGGGCCCCGTAGTCCTGAAATGTGAATGTACCAAGTACTATCCCTGCAACCATGATATAATATCTGGGCCTGCTGAAGCCTGCGAATCTCGGAACCGCAAGAGCAGAGACGCCTTCCGAACATCTCAGGAAGCGCATTAACAAAAAAACACTCGGCAACTAAATGTCATGGACTGACCATATGCATCCTGGGTCAGTTGAAGCTTGCATGGGTGGTATTGGTACCGCACACAACCCAAACTCCGTCCGCAAGTCTGCGCACCCGGAATTCTACTGTAAGCAGACCCGCGACATTGCGACAAAACACACACCCATGCCTCAAGCTCCAACCAGAACAACGTGCACCACATAGCTCGGAGTGGGAACACCGCTTTTGGCCAACAGATTCAAGCTATGACACAAAGTCCACGCTGCAGAATAGCGTAACACATCGCACAACATGCGAAGCGGTTGCCAAGAGCCACTCGCAGCCCGAGCCACTGAAGGAGGAGGAAGGGGCTGGGACATCAAAACTGCTCCAGGGCTTCTGACTCAATACACTCTCTACACTTCTCGATGCGTGCGGTGGGCTTTTTCCTCCAAGTCCTGAACCTTAGAGGTAAAGACGCAGCTGACCCAGACCCCCCCAGACCTCGGTTATCCTAAACCGTAACCCTGTGCCCGAATGGTATATGGGTAGTTGTCAAAACTAGGGTCCCTTTTGGGGTACCCAAAATAACAGGTGCCGTATTACAATAAGGACCCAAAAGGGGACCATAATTTTGACAACCACCCATATGCATCCTTAATCTCCTCACTCTGTGGCCTAAAGCCGAAACTCGTGAACCTCCCCAGGGCCAGACTCGCAAACTCAGAAGCCTCATGCCCTATAACTTATAACCTTAAACCCTTTAAGCCCTGAGCCCTTAAACGGTTTAGGGGTTTAGGGTTTCGGGTTTAGGACCTTAAATCCCACACGCCCAGGCCCCTGAGCTACAAACCCCAAGCGTCGTTCTGTTTACTGGGGGGGTTTCCGACAATTGGGGACCCTAATATAGTACCCTAAATAATAGGATCCTTATTATAAGGACCCCAAAATAACCTAATATAGTACCCTAAATAATAGGATCCTTATTATAAGGACCCCAAAATAAGGTACCCCAATTTTCTGAAACTCCCACTTCGACAGCCACAGCACGCTGATACTCGTCGAAAGCCGACCGCCCAGAAGCTGTGATGCTGGCCTGCAGTTATAGCTCCTTGAACCCTTTAAGTAAGAGCCTCAATAACTAGAAAAAGGCTTCCTTTGAAGGGCTCCTTGGAATTAAGGGATAGGGGTTCTGTAATTGAGGGGGCCTTGATCAGCAGAATTTAATAAGGTGTTGGGTATACTGGTCAGAAAGTGTTTTGCTTGTAGGGTACATGGCCTTAATGAGTTCTTAAAATAAGGGAAAATCAGCTAAAGCTTGAGGTTAGAGACCGGTGGAAGTGAGCGACGCACGGCCACATGCGCTTTCCTTGCACCCTTATCTACCACTGATGGCTGCAGTCTGCCGGACCTGTTAGCCACAATCCCGTGTCATCCGACCCTCAAGCCTCAAGCCCTCACACTAGACGACGAAGCCGCTACACCCCCGAAGTCCTTACCCTAAACCCTAAACCCTAAACCCTAAACCCCCAGCCAACTTCTGCCGCCAAGGAGCTGATGAAGTCTGGCTCTGGCTCTTGGTGATGTCGTCCTCCTGGGCGATAAGGCTACCCAGACCCCCAAAAGGATCTAAAAAATAGATCCCCTAAGGGGGTTCCTATAAAGTCCCCTTTAAAAGTTAGGGTCCCTAATTAGGGGATCTATTTTTTAGATCCTTTTGGGGGTCTGGGTAGCTGGAAGGCTCGGCTTTGCAAACCCCGTCTGTAGGGGTTCCAAGAACGGCAAGATTTCAGCTCACACCCACATGCTGGAGAACTGTCCAGAGCGTGCTGGAGTTTCGGCTTCAGCTGCCTCACACAAACCCTCAACTTGCCTCTGTGGTTTAGGCGCTTTTCTGGCGATAAAGACTTGCCAGGTGCGGATGGTTGGAAGCTCTCTACAGTCTAACACTCGACCTGAAGTAAGCCGTAAAAAAACCCAATCGCAAAACCCTCTTTGTGTTCAGCTTCTATATTGAGATTTGAGAACGACTTCAATCTCAGCAAGCAAGGGCAGATCGGGTTTTAAGAGCTACGCTTTCGGGTTCGCGACGAGCGGCTTCTTGCTGAACCAGGCAATACAGGCGAAGCTCTGGAAAAGCAGTTGTGATGTCATCCTCGGCGGCAGTTATAAAGGTTTAGGGTTTAGGGTTTCGGGTTTAGGGTTTAGGGGTTTCGGGTTTAGGGATTAGGGGTTTAGGGTTTAGGGTCCTTTTCTGGCGCTGGGGCTCTCTCGTGTTCCAAGAGCGAGACTCATCTAATCGTGCCTCGACTCCAAGCACGAAGTGAAAAGAATACGTGCTAACTAACACAGTCTAAACCCTGCACCATCCCCCTTCTTCCACATGCCCTGAACCCTAATGCGCTTATCCTAGACCCTATACGCCCTGATGTCATGCTCCACACCTTATGCGTAGGATAATCTCCTAAACCTCAAAGCCTTGTACTGTACTAAGCATTATATACCCATAGGCCCCATAGTAGTTCCTTTTTGGGGTTCATATTTAGAATCCTATAAAGTAACCCCAAGCAGGAACTACTAAGTGGCCTATGGGCAGAGAGTCACCGGGTTGACCCACGGATGGTAGCTGAGCTTCGAGCAGATGTCAGCGTATGGGGCATAAGCTTAATTAGGGGCTTTGGTCTAGGATCTTATTTATGGGTGTAAACATAAACCCTAAACCCCAGTAGGATTGAGGACTAATTAGATCTTTGGTCTAGGATTTTAAAAGTGTAAACATAAAGCCTAAACTTCAGTAGGATTGAGGACCCTAAGGCTTAGGGCTTGAGTGTTCGGCAGCATTCAGGGACCCTGAAGGGCAAAAATCAGACCTTCCACGGCTATGGGACGCCCAACTACTACTCGCAAGCTTCCCCGAGAGCCCATTCCATATGCCTGGATAAAGGAGTACGTAAACCTTGGATAGGAAAGGGCATAATATTAATATCCTGAGAGGTCTTGCCGGCATGTGTGGCTCTGGAAACAAGGCTCCTTTAGCCTTTGCGGGTTCCTGTACAGCGCCCCTAAAACCCACAACAGTCTGAGGCCAGAGTCGTGGAACTCCTTCGTGGTGTACTTGGGACTCCTTCGACTGTCGAGATTCCCTAAACGCTAAACCCCTCTGTTGTGGGTGGAGAGGCTTCATCTGAGCAAGCACAGTTACCTTGCACAACAAGCCCGAATCCCTGAAAGGTCTTCACGGGTAATGTAGAGGCCTTAATAATTGGAATAGGGTTCTGGGGTATATTATACTATAAGTATAATAAGGAACCCCCAAAAGTGTCTGTATATATATATATATATATAATTATGGTAAGGAACCCCCCCCCAAAAAAAATGGTGTGTGTGTATATATATATATATATATAGCAAGGAACCCCGCAAAATAGTATAGGTAATTGTTTAGGCCCCCATATTAAAGGAACACGGCAAGGCACTGAGGAACTCGGGTCCACGGCTTGAACTTTAAAGCCTCCTGAATCCGGCTTAGGGTTTCTCAGTTTACTCGACCAGTGAGCCGAACAAATCGAAAACAATGGGGTCTTGACTGGGTTTCGTGTCCAGGGTCATTGACAACCAGAACGAAGCAGTAAAAGGTTTGTGACATGGATTTATCGTGTTTCTGTAGGGCTCAGGGGGTTTAGGGTTTAGTCCCCAATGATGACAACATGGATGTGTGGTCTACAAACTGTTCAGACCTCTGTAGGAGGTGAGATCCTTCAAACAGAATAACGGCCATCATGATGCACGACCATGGGTTCTATGCAAAAGAAGTAGAAGAAGAAACATAAATATATTGGCAGTACTAGCTATAGGGTCATGTACATGTGTATGTATATATATATATATGTACATAATATTTGCGTACTTTCGTCCGTTTGGAGGCGCCTAATCTGCTCGGCAGCTCGGCGTGCACGTGCCCAGTCGGTTGTCTTGCCCTCCATGATGCGGCCGATAACCAACTCCTGGGACAATTTTCCTACACCCAGGTACCTACTATATAGGGCCCTAGGAGCTCTAGTACCCTATGTAGTAGGGGGTTAGGGATTTTCCTACAGGTTTCCAGTTTACGCTCTCGCAACTCGGACTCCGCCAGGCGAGGTCTCTGTCTCAACTAGTTTCGGGTTTAGTTTAGGGACCCCAATACCCTCTAGCAGAGGAGTTTACCTGACACAAGGACTAAAAGAAACTCAGCTTCCAAGGCCACAACCCCCATTCGCTTTCAGTCGGGCAATGTCAGACTGTTGGCACAGCATTGCAGCGGCTCGCGCCGCCAAAGCACAGGGACAAGGGAGTCCCACCAGCAGCTGCAAGAGTAGCAGCAGCAGTAGTAGTAGTAGTAGTAGTAGTAGTAGTAGTAATAGTAGTAGTAGTAGTAGTAGTAGTAGTAGTAGTAGTAGCAGTAGCAGTAGCAGTAGCAGTAGCAGCAGAAGCAGCATCAACGGAAACTGCAGCCGGGTCACGTGCGTGCCGCGGATCTCTAGAGGCTCCGGGATTTCTACCTGAACGGTTTAGGGTTTAGGGATTTTGACGAACTGATCGCTATCCATATCGTTGAATGGTTTTGGAATCCTTGCACCGAATATCCTAATGTAGAGCCGTGATGGAGCTGTGCATAGGGACCACAAGAGGGTAGTCGACCTGACTACTCAAGATCTCTATGCCCCAATGGTCGTTGTCTGCAGCTTGTTGCTTCCAGGGCTTGTGGGCGAGGGCTTTAAGCTGTGGGGAGTGCGGACCTCAGATAAGCTCAGGCAAGAGAAACAACAATCCGCATTGCCTGTCTGTCCTGCTCGTGGACGCTTTTTTGCCTCAGTAGCCGGGCGACTTGGCAAAACATCCCCTGCTACCGATGAATAGCATCCGATTGCAGGATACGGACAGTGTCAGCCGTACGCATCAGATTTGACTGAGCAACACAGCTCTGCATGAACCTTGTCATGCGAACCTCGCTGGAATTGCGCCCTCTGCAAAGCTTACAACTCCCACACAGCTTTAGGTTGGGGTTTGAAGCCGCATGAATGTTCATATGCTTGGTAGGGCTCATTAGCTGCTGCAGCTTCTCTTTTTCGAATATCCAGGCATGTATTCTGAAATCCGCATGCAAAGTTTAAAACCGGTCCAATACTTCCAACAATATATATATATATATATATATATATGTGTGTGTGTGTGTGTATATATATATATGTATATATCAGTCTATGAATCTAAGCTTCAAACCTCACCGACTCTTATTCGAATCCTGAACCCGAATGATTCCGTCATAGCTGCTTCCGTCGCCTTAGGCTCCCGTCTTTCCAGGAAGGGAAGATCGACTTGCGCCTGGTTTGACAGGGTTTTGGGGTTTAGTTATTACCCATAGGCCCCATAGTAGTTCCTTTGTGGGGTTCATATTTAGAATCCTACAAGGTAATCCCAAAAAGGAACTACTATGGGGCCTCTGGGTAGCTGCTCCCATTTCCATAAACTGTTGCGACATCTCCTGTGCCGTGTAAGCCCCCTTTGCAGCAGGCTTGGGTGGTCTCCCTAAGCCCCTCAACCCCAAACCACGGTCTAGGTTTGGGTTTCATGGCACCAAAACGCTTAAGGAAGGAGGTGTGGAGGCTCGAGTCATTAGAACAGGTTGGGGATAAATCATACCTTTGTAATGCTAATTCGAGACTAGAATACTAGAAGGGGCTAATATGGCCACACTTCTTCAGGCTTCTAGATGAGGCCAATGCTCTACAGGGTTAAGCTTTAGGGCATGTGGGTCCCACCGCAGACCTTGACCCCTGTGCACGTCTTCAGACTTTTAGATTTGAGGTTTGGGGCTTTTTTCACACTTTTAGATTTAGGGTGTCAGGATTTGGGGTTGGATTTGTGGAACATTCGTGGATGTCAACGTTCCTGTAGTCTTCAGATGCTTTAAGTCTACATGTTTGCTTCAGCAGGCAGACCTTGTCGTGGTGGCCACAGTTCGGGCTGCACGTCTTAACTACTGTCGGTAACCATTGCTTTGGCTGCCGTTGTGGCGCCCGGCGTGTTGGTGGCCGTAAGACACTGTAAGACACAAGAATTCCTGCGGGTTCTTACGACCATGGCTGCGTCCAGGAAAACACGATGTCGGTAGGCCATCACCCATGGCTATGATCATGCAGACAAAGAGAATGGCCACCTGGCATGGCCACAGGGAATGGCCCCCTGGAATGGCCACGTGGAATTACCAAGTGGAATGGCCATAGGGAATGGCCACAGGGAATGCCCGCAGGGAACGGCCACGGGGACTAACCAAAAAAAAGGGAACGGCCACAGGGAGTAGCCAGAGGGAATGGCCACCGGGCATGGCCGCAACGAATAGCCACAGGGAGTAGTTATAGGGAATGGCCACAGGGAATAACCAAAGGGAAGAGAACAGCTAGAGAGAACAGCCAGAGGGAATGGCCACGGAGAATGGCCACAAGGAAAATCTCCACTCTACACATTTCACAAAGAGAGAGAGAGAGAGAGAGCGAGAGCAGCAAAGAGAAGAGTCAGACAGAGAGAATGGCCACAGGGAGTGGCAATCTTGCACTAAGGACTGAGCCTGTCCAGTGCTTAAGTACAGCCAGCTTGGCGTGACTACCTCCAGAGGAGCCATCTAGATTTGACACCGGCAGGCCTGGTTACCGCCTTACGGCGGCTTTGTCGTGACGTCCGAACACAGGTTCGATCGCTTCTACCAGCCAGTTTAAAAACCTTGAACCCAGCTACATTTGGCGCGTTGCATCCGATGGCACGAAGTTGATGATCGCGGTGGCGATTGCCGCCGTGATTGCGCAAACAGCAATGACAATGAGCATGATGATGGCGATGGAGATGATGATGAAGCTGCTGGTGCAGCTGGCAGGGAATTAATGGAGAAGGATGCTCTCAAGATGGTGATGCCAGGAACCCTACACTAGACCACGGATTGATTATGAACAGAAGAATCCACTAGCACGCAGCTGGGAGCACGACGATGTGGAATAACAATGGCAACAACACAAAAATGAGGATGGCGATCTTGATGGCGAAGAGCCAAGTGACCGTCAGATGTACGAGTATGAATGAGCATTGTGCTGGCGATGACAAGTATAGAATGATAGAAACGGCGATGACGAGCATGGTGAGGTAGGGATATTGGCGATGGCGACTGTGACTATACAATAGGGTTGGTATTGCAAGCCAATATCAGTGCGACCGTTCGTTTATTGCTACGGTCGCTTTTAGATATGCATAATGCTTCTGCTCCTGTTGTCGGTGTTGCTGCTGTTATTCCGATATTCCTGCTACTGGCATGATTTCTGCTGGCCAATGCTGCAATGATAAATCATGATACTGCTTGTCTGGGAATCCCTCACCACCATCGCTGTCCGACTGCTTGCTGCTGCCGTGAGCAAGCCAAAATACAACAATGGCATCACACATGCACATTAGTCCCTCATTCTCAGTTGCATATGAAATTAATAATGTTGGGGCCTTCATAATGATAGTAATAATCTTAATAATAATCAGAAGAATAATGATAATGAGCCAAAAGCATTTAAAGCTAATACGCCAGGCAGCTTAACGCAAGCGGTCTCCGCATCCAGCTCGTGTGAATTGGTCCATCCCCACCTTCGGAGGAGCTGAATGAGGGTACAGTTTAACGTTTAGGGCTTCGGATTTGGTGTAGTGGGTTATTGTTTCGGGTTTACCTACCGGGGTTTCGGGCTGAGGGTTACTGGCTCAAGCGCTCATACGGCCTTGATGTCGGTGGCATGCGTCCACCAAGTTGATCTCATGTCTGCTGCCATTGTGCATTCCAGACTGCTGAGAAGTGTAAGGCGCAAAGCAGCATATGAAGAGCATTTCAGGCTAACGACCCTATACCCTTAACCCTAAACCCTGAGCCCTAAGAGTTTGGCTGCTAGTAGGTACGACAGTGAAACAAGGTTATACCGAGCCGTAGCTGCCCTCAGATGGGACATGTCTCATCGAAACTTAAACATGCACAACTTTGGATTTGACGACCTCGAGTCCTACAGGTGATACGAATGTGATGACCTAGGAAACTACCCGCCTGAAACGTCTGGAGAGCTGACAACTCGCCGCATCTGCAGAAAAAAAATCGAAGCCATGCAATGGAGTCTTGGCGAACTGAGTTTACTAACCCCACAACCCTAAACCCAAACCCTAAACCCAAACCCGAAACCCTCAACCCCTCAACCCTAACCCCTAAACCCTAAACCCCTAAAACCTAAACCCCTAAACTGCTAAACCCCTAAACCCTAAACCCCAAAGCTCCTGAACCCGACCCAGGTGCCTCGTCACTACCGTGTCCGTCTCGCCTCCGGCACTTTCCTGCGAACAGGGGCGAGGTGTGGGAGCGAGACAGGAGACGGGGCATCATACCTATAGGGTCATACCATACCCCTTTTTTAGGGTACCTAGTTTTTTATATAGCAGATCCTAACCATAAAACTAGGTACCTAAAAAAAGGGTAGGGTAGGACCCTATGCCCGTAGTTCTCTAAATTAAGGTCCCGTCTAGGGTCCCTTTATAAGGGTGCCGTACTATATAGGCGACCTAAAAAGGGACCCTAATTTAGAAAACTACCCATGTAGGGGCCTAAAGAACTACCAATAGCCTTCCTTGGGGTTCCTCGCTGTGGGTATCGTGTGTTCATATACCCCCAAACCCTATTCTAATTCTATTCTGATAAAGGCCCCAAAAAGATAGGGATTCGGATTCAGATTTAGGCTTTTCCGGTTTCGGCCCTCACGCTCCGTCGGAGGGGAAGCAAGGCTGCAGGATTACTGTAGGAATTAATATAGGGCCCCGAATAATTAAAATAAGGTTTTGGGGCCCATTATACTAAAATTTTTCTACCAAGGAACCCCCCAAAATAGTATTGGCATTGATTTAGGCCCCTATATTAAGGCTTCAGGGGAAGCCTCATGGTTTAAAGGGCTGGGATCGATGTTGCGTCCCGTTAGGGTTTAGGGTTTAGGGTTTAGGGTTTAGGGTTTAGGGTTTAGGCTTGACAAGGTCTGCTCCGGGGTTTAGGGTTTTTTGCCTCCTACTGGGTTTAGGGTTTAGGGCTTAGGGCTTTAGTCTTATGATTCTTCGAAACTTAAGTTTTTTGGAAGCAACGGTCCCCACTAGGGACAAGTGCAGTGGCTTTAGGGCCCCAGCCTTTTGAGTTAGAGGAAGTGCTACTGGAAGAAGATACAGTAATGTCACTACCCATAGGCCCCTTAGTAGTTCCTTTTGGGGGTTCATATTTAGAATCCTATAAGCCTTTTTGGGGTTCATATTTAGAATCCCATCCCAACAAGGAACTACTAAGGGGCCTCTGGGTAGTAATGTCAGGCTTGATGCCTGCAGAACGAGCTGCCTTGCTGGCCCTCCGGCCCTCGGCAGAACTTTCTTGGAAGGCTGTCTTGGACAGCTGCAAAACATCGACATCCAGGAATCCACCCTCAGCTTACCCTAAAACCCTAAACCCTAAACCCTAAAATCCTAAACTCTAAACAACCCTGAAACGTTTCGATTCAAAGGCCGAACTTTGCTACTCTACCCATAGGCCCCATAGTAGTTCCTTTTGGGGGTTCATATTTAGAATCCTATAACTTAGGGGCTGAGTACCCTAGCCCACAAAAGGTTAACCTTTGAATTCATGTAAGACTATAAGAGCCCCGAAAGGTTAAAGGTTACCTACTCAGCCCCTAAGATAAGGAAATCCCCAAAAGGAACTACTATGGGGCCTATGGGTAACGACTCTGCAGAAACTGAAACTCTCTTCAGCTAGCGGCGCGGCCAGAGGATCAAGGCAGGGGCGCCCCAGTTTAGGGTTTAGGGCTTTAGGGCTTTAGGGCTTTAGGGTTTAGGGTTTAGGGTTCAGGGTTTAGGGTTTAGGATTTAGGGAAAAGGGCTTGGCTGCGGTCCCTTTCAGGATGCACCCAGAGAGCTCAATACCCCTTAATTAAGGAAGATACCTTAAAACTATAAGGGGCTTCATATTATGATGAAAGCTATATTCCTGAATTAAGGGGAATTGGAGCTTGACCGAAGGTAAACCCTGAACCCCTGCACTTAGCGCCCCGCCCCAAACCCTCTATACACCCAAAACATCCTCTAAACACCTGAAGCTCTGAATCTCTCAGAACCCTAAACCCTAAACCCTTTTGAAACCGGGCTTGCTGGCTGCCTAAACCCTAAACTCCCTAAACCTGCCTGCGTGCGGACGAAAGTGAACTCGACTCCGGCAGGAAGTCCAATGCTCGTCCAGCGCTGATCCTCAGCGCAAAGCGGTTTAGGTTTAGGGTTTTACAGGGTTTTAGGGTTTAGGGCGAGCTTCTTTTGTTTGGCCGCTTAGGGTTTACGATTTAAGATTATGGGTTTAGGGTTTCGGCGTTCACACTCGGGCAATCCAGGCGAGGCATGTTTAGGGCCAACCCTAAACCCTAAACCCGGAGAAAGAAGCGCCTTTCACTCCGGCAAAGCTGTTCTCACACCCTGCTAGTTGACAGAGTCGCACAGGGGCCTCGGGTTCGGGCTCCATGGCATGTTCAGGTCATTTATAGTGAACCCCAGGAAGGTGGAACATGGATTTAGGACGATTCGTGCTGGGATTCCCTTTACTTTACATTAAGGGCATCAGGATCATGATGTTCCAACTTTCTCCTAAACCCTAAACCCCTAGCTTCTACAGAATGTCCTTCAAGTACTTGGGGTTGCGGAGTTTGTCAACCAAGGAGGATCCAAGTAGCCAAGCTGGAGGGCTGTAGGCTCTCCCAAAACAAACTTAGGGTTTAGGGTTTCGGGTTTAGGGGTCCGGGGTTAGGGGTTTAGGGTTTAGGGTTTAGGGTTTAGGGCTTGCTCCGAGACAGATTTTACCGACTGCTTTAGAGTTGAGTGCTGGTTGTAGGCTTACGGTCCTTAAATTGTACTAATATCTACGAGTATACACAAAGATTGAAGGCGTGTAAGTGAGCACCTTACTGGCAATGCGAGGTTGAGGGGCGGTGAAACTCGTCTCCAAGTGAGTGCCCGGCTTCGGTTTCAGTTTCGAGGTTTAGCTGAGAGATACTCTAAGGTCTAGAGTTTTAGCTTCATTAAGTGAAGGGTTTAAGCAAGCCAGCGAAGATCGCCTCTCTTGTCCAACCAAAGAGGAAATAGCTCACTTTGAAACGGAACGGACCCCACACCTGGATTTCTCACGGGCCTAAGCTGTAAACGGACCCAGACTCAGAGCGATAGGGAACCCTAAACCCTAAACCCTAAACCACAGTTAGAGATGCCAGGCTCTGATGTTCCCAGACTTCAGCCAGACTTCGGTGTTTAATTACCTGGACCCTGTGGAAAAGTGCTGCTCTTTGCACATGAAGCGCCAAGCCTACTCCAGAAAGGTCCAAAACATTGAACTGGTCTAGGATCTCGGTCTGCGAAGCTCTATATAAACAAGAGGGGCTCGGTCCAAAGCGACAAAAAACGTGGCTGACGGTGGGTTGAACGAAGTGGATCTCGCCTTCAACACGAGAAGCCAAACCTCATAAAACCTTCCCATCAATTTCCCGGACATGTGAAGTCTAGGGCACAGCGCTTCACGGGGATAAAATCAAAAGGCACCCTGCAGCCTGCCCCTGAAACCCACATTTCCTCCGGGCGTCATGCGGATTCAGCACCTCAACATGCACCTCGCTGATCCCGTAGTGCCTCAGCTTCCATGTTCTGGGCTTCCTAAACCCTATGAGCGTGGAGAAGGGTTGGGGTGGTGGCTACTTAAAGGATCATGGGACTTAGTAAGTCGGGTTATAACTAAGGTAACTATACTTATAAGCCCAGTTGAGGGACTTATAACCTTACTTACGAAGTCCCATGATCCTCCAAGTAGGAGAAGGCAGTGTCGCTCCCCTGTCCGGCATCGGGACTTCGCAGGCCGAACGCCGCGGTCCCCCTGAGTGCAGGATTTGAATAAGTGGCGCCTTGAATCCTCCGGCCTGCAACAGTTTCGCTGGTTTGTGGGGTTCAGGGTTCTTCACTCTTCCCATTGCTGGGGAGAAGCAGGGAGTCCTGTTTTAGAGCCACCAAGCCATGCAGCACTCTGTATTGACCTTGCCTGTCCCCTGATGCTGTTTAGCCCCCTACAACACAAGATTGCAGTGATGATCATGGCCACCCGTTTTGGCAACTGTAAGGGCTAGGAGCTGCAAAAGCATGAGCCCGGCATTCATCTGAAGAACACGTCTGAGACTAGTGAAATTCAACAGCAACATGAAAACATGGACCGCCGATGCCAACCTTTGTTGCAGGGACACCCAAAAAGACCCCCATGCTTTGACGAATGCTTCCAGGGCTCGTTTTCAGGCCAGGGAAGCTTGGAGAGAACTCAACTTCTTGTCGGAAAGCTGCCTGGCCGGGGCTCCGGGCTTCGCGGTGGATCCCCTTTCCGACTTGCAGTAATCCCGTCCTAGTGATGGCCTCGGAATGTAAGCTTTAATCTTTAATCCTTACTACACTAGCACATGTGAAGACGACTAGTAAGCCACCCCTTTGCTGATGGTACCAACAAGCACAGTGCTTCATTGCTAGACAAGGGGTCGGAGAAAGCACCCTCGAGTTATACGTGGCAATGCCCGGGAATTTCTGAGGTATCTTGACTGTCGCCTTCAGAAGTGGTGAGGCCAGAACTAGATTACTCTATGTGCCATGTGTATGCTCGGCAGGTCTCAACTCCATGCGCGCACTGCCTGCGAGGCCATGTTTTTTTACATACATGGTGGTCCTGTACAAGCAAGAGTCTCTAGATCCTATAAAGCCTAAACCTCAAACCCTAAACCTCCAAACCCCTGTGTGGAGCCTTGCCTGCCTTGTGCGAGAGTGAGAGTCGAAACCCCTAAACCCCTAAACCCTAAACCCTAAACCTTAAACCGCTGCCACAGTCGACTTCGGAGCGAGAACTCCTAATCAAAGATCCCAAGCCAAGAAGTACTAGACGACTCGACTAGATCCTCCCTTACCCGGTATAGAATCCTGATACTGCTAACGATCCTAATCCCTGTGCTACAGGGCCCTTATTTTCTAGCTAGAATAGGGCTAGGAGTCGGAGTTGGGAGTATATTGGGTTATAATAATAAGCGGACCTCAAAGTGGATACTATAATATATAGTTAAGGGGACCCCTAGATATTGCCGCTAAACCCAGAGACCCCAATACCCCTTAATTAAGGAATATAGCCTAAATCATATAATATGAAGTCCCTTATAGTTTAAGGTATATTCCTTAATTAAGGGGTATTGGGCTCTCTGGGAAGATACCGTTAGAGGAACCCGAACCCTGTCCTCGCTGACGTGCAAGCCCTCTCGCTGCAGAGCCTGTCGGAGGTCAGCGCTTCTTCGCCAGCTGCCCGAAACGCTAAACCCCAAAACCCTAAACCCTAAACCCCCAAACCCTAAACATCCCTAAACCCTAAACCCCGGGATTGGGTTTTAGGGCTTATTTTGTCTGTTATTGTCTCTAGGAGGTTGCGTTTGGAGTATAGCGTTGAAGCTTTAGGGTTGCTGCCCGAGATTTGCCATGTGCTCAGGGTTCGGGGTTGCTGAGTTTCTCAACCCGATGATACAGGGACTAACGGAGGGACCCCTAAAGGCACCCTTGGGGTTTTCTACGGGCTTCAAGAGGTATGTAACCTTTATATAGGGTAGTTGGATTTAAGGTTCCTTCTAGGGGTCCCCCCTATTGTCCCTTAAGATGATGAACAGCCACAGTATCGATAAGGACAGGGTCACATACACCCAAGAACCTGAGCTGCTAAAGCGGCCACCCAAAAGCACATAAGCAAAACTTGGGATAGGGATACCATAGGCCCCATAGTAGTTCCTTTTTGTGGCTTATGGTTAGGATCCTATTAGGGAATCCCGAAAAGGACCTACTACGGGGCCTATGGATTCTTTGACTGCCCTTTTTTTTACGTAGATACAAGGTTTGTGCATGCAGTTTATCTCAATCTGGCGGTCTGGCCGTGTTTGGAAAGAGCCATCGGAGCTGCTTTGGCTTCGGATCCCGCGGATGCAGAGAGAGGGTTTAGGGTTTAGGGGTTTAGGGTTTAGGGTTTAGGGATCCCGCGGATGCGGAGAGAGGGTTAGGGAGGGGGAGGGAGGAGGGTTTAGGGGTCAGGGAGGGGACGCTGGAATCATAGGACGCTATATGTGACAGAGAAGCTCTCAGAACAAAACCCATAAAGGCCGAAGGTTATTGAAAAACTGAACCGAAAGCCCTCACTCCTGCTACCATAACCCACCATAACTTCCATAACGATTTAGGGCCGGGATTTCTATAGCCAGAACTGACTTTTTTCCATGACTATAAGCCGCAGAAGCCTGCAAAGACTGGTTTTTAGGTACTACAGGAGCCTGGAATACTGGAACACTTAAGACTCCAATAGGGCTTTATTTGGGTGTATATTCTTTCAGGGTTTAGGGTTTAGGGTTTAGGGATTCTACTGTATCTTGTAACGAACCCTGGGATTACATTACCGGGTTTAGGGTTAAGGGTTAGCACTTACCAAGGCCCCGGATCATCCACATGGGGGTTTCCGAAAATAGGGGACCCTAATATAGTACCCCAAATAGTAGGATCCCTATTATAAGGATCCAAAATAAGGTACCCTGATTTTCTGAAACTCCCACATAGGACAGGCCTCACTGATACCCAGGCGCCCAGTCAGAGCTTCCACCACAGCCTCCTGCCAACCCTGCTCCTGACCGGTCTGGTGGAGTTTAAGAGGGTTTAGGGCTTATAGAGTTTAGTTAGGAGTTTAGGAGTTTAGGGTTTAGAGGTTTAGGGCTCAGTATAGGGTTTAGAGTTTAGGAGTTTAGGGTTCAGAGGTTTAGGTTTAGGGCTTGAGATCAAGAGCTGCTTACGGATGAAGGGTTTGAAGGTTTTCGTGACCTGGCTCCGGCCGCGAACCCTAGAAATTTGTAGCTTAGGACCTCGGAGATGATGGGAACTACCTATGGGGTCATACCCTACCCCTTTTTTAAAGGTACCTAGTTTTATGGTTTCAAGTGCTATATAAAAAAGTAGGTACCCTTAAAAAGGGGTAGGGTCGAAAACGATAAGAGAGGGGCCTTACTAAGGGGCCCATTATACTATGATTATAATGAGGAGCCCCCAAAATAGTATAGGTCCTTAGTTAGGCAGTTAGGCCGCTATTTTAACTAAATAGGGGATCCGCAGACAAGTGCTTCTCAATCCGTGCTTGAGAAGTGCATGACCGAATCACCCCCGTTGTTTTCAAATCTTTCCATAGACATCTAAGATGGGGCGCCCCATGGATTTCGGCATTGAGAGACCTCGATGGTTTCCATCTCGGCATGAGGATGGCTACTGGGATCTATGGTGCCTTTGGACCACTTTGAGACTGAAAGTACAGAACTCAGAGCAAAACCCTAAACCATAAACCTCCCCAGGCTTTCTGGATCTCTGGTCACCAGCCTCGGACATCCGCATGGACAGCACCCGGGGTGAGTTCATCACATGAGTCCGAGAATGCTGCTGCTTGGTCCTGCAACGGATGAGGGTTTAGGGTTTAGGGTTTAGCTGGGGGTTGAAACAAATGGCGAGCTGAGCATATGCCGGCCTAGGCCGAACGTCTTGTATATCCTGCAGAGTCAAGCGCCACAACCCTCGCGAGTAGACCTTAGGCCCGAATCCCGAAGCCTTTGACATAAAACCCAGACTCAACAAGTGTCGGGATCTTCGACTGCCAGTTCTGACGAATCGGAAGGGGGCTTAAAAGGTGTACTGCCATAGGGTTCGCAAGCGATGTTCAGGCTCTGGTGCTGGGGTTAGGACAAACAGAAACTCGTGGCGGAACCCTGCGACAATCCTCAGCACCAGCGTATGCCGGCAGTTCCTGGGATGTCTCGGGGGGGAAGTGCGGCTTGCTTTGGCCCTTCACGATCCTTACTTACCGCAGCTTATATCCCGAAGCCAACACCCTCCCTAAACCCTAAACCCTAAACCCTATAAAGCCTAAAGCCTAAACCCTCCTCCATCGACATAATTTCTCAGACCTAAGACTTGGGGGCGAGTCATTCGAGTCTCAGCGGGTGAACGCATACCCCGACCCCTGCAAAACAGATCAGACTACTCAGGGCCTGTGACTGATCAACACAGTACAGGGGCCTCAGAAATTGTGGCACTATAGGCTCTTCATCGCATCTCTATAATTCGAACAATGAGAGACTAAGGACAATGAGTTTAAGGCACCTCTGACTCTATTAGCCACCCGAATGGCCTCAAGAGCCTCGGTTAAGGACCGAGGCGCGGATTCTAAATATGAACCCCAAAAAGGGACTACTACTTGGAGGATCATGGGACTTAATAAGTAAGGTTATAAGTCCCCTAATTGGGGTTATAAGTATAGCTACCTTAATGATAACCCTACTTACTAAGTCCCATGATCCTTTAAGTATGGGGCCTATGGGTAGCGACATTCGTAGTTAGGGGTTTACGCTCTCACAACTCGGACTCGCCAGATGCGGTTCATGGTCCGCAGTTGGCATGAAACTAAGACTTAGACTACCTGTAGTATCCATTGTAGTTCCTTTTTTTGGTTTAACCAATGATCTATTAAGTATTTTATAAGGCATCCCCAAAAAGGANNTACAATGGAGACTATAGGTAAGGCATGAAAAGAGGTGGCCACTCGCATCCTACGTTCATCGACATTCAAGAGTTTGCTCGAAGACAAATGATTTAAGCGTTTTAAGCATCTTGTTTGCTACTTTCTGGGCCTCACTAAGGCAATGTCTGAGTCTAGATAACTTTCACCTCCCGATGTTAAACACCTGTACCCCTGGCCCGAATGACTTCAGCAAATCCCTTTCCGAACCCGAAGCAGAACCCTATTCAACCCTTCTACAATCCTATGCCCTCTGAAAAGTCAGACGGTAGAGGCGGCAGGAAACCCTAAACCCTAAACCCAAAACCCTACACCCTAAACCCCAAACCCTAAACCCTAAACTTTGAGGTATTGGAGGCAGGCGGGTGTGGGGAGTTCCTGAAAGCCCAGCGTCCGTTGCAGCCTGGGT